ACACACATACATATCTGCGTGCTGTGCTGTGGTGCCAGTTGCCGAGTGTTTGGTTGGCTGTTCTTGCGTTTTTCTGCTATTGTTGTTTTCCCTATTTAAAATGAAAACGACAATGGCAGCTCACTTGACACCGTCCTCACACCAACGTCACTGGGTTTATGATTTTTGCTTTCGGCAGCGTCTGCGCCCGTTTTGATTGCCGGTAACAGTCAACAATCAACTATCGATTACACCGTAGCTTTATGCAGCGCTGAGGGAATTATGTTTGCGTATACATAAGTATGTGAGTAAAAGAATTTTTTGCAATGTGTTTGTGTGATTTTGTGCGCTTGGTATTTTGTTGGTTGGCTGCTGAAGCGGTTGGCTATCAGCTGGGAGGAATATTATTGACCAACCAAAATTGTTTGATAGGAGATATATCTCTGAGTGGCTACTTTAAAATTTGTATTATATGAATGTATGTATCTATATATATATTTATCTTTAAATACGCTAATATGTAAAAAGGCATTTTATGGTATTTACAGCCTAGGACAAAGTTTAAAATTTATGGACATGACACCGCCCACTTTTAGGTGAAATCACATATCTCGGCACCTGCTTGACAGTTGCTCAACCAAATTCGGTAAATAACATTCTTAACACCCATGTTACAGTGCGGAAATGGAGGAAATCGGGCTACAACCACGCCTACTTCCCATATAATACAATTTTAAATTCCATCTTATTATTTCACATTTCAATATATAAATAAAGCACCAATTAATATAACGGGTTAAAATTTGCACGAATAATGCCTCTGAAGTGTGCCACTCTATGGCTAAAAATTGTCCAATTCGAACCAAATCTGTTTACGCCCCTAGGTACTTGGGAACTTTTTATCAAAACTATCGGTCAAACTCTGAGATATATTATAGAAATTTGTAGAGAACCCTTTCCTGATAATAGTATGCCTTTATGTCGAAAATGGATTGAATCGGTTCAATAATTCTCCTAGTGTCCACATACCTCATAGACAAATTTCGAGTTTCCGGCTGACTTTTTACCGCATATATGTGAGTTATTTTATTGAAATTGAAAAAGCGTGCTTCTATAATAATAAAGGATCCTTGTGCTTAATGTGGATAAAATGGGGTGAAAACTTGCCCCAACCCCCATGTAATTAATAACAAAATTTTAAAAAATCTAGTCGACTTTATTATACCTATATATTGATGATGGTATGTGAGCTACCTTAATGAATGTAAGTTAATAGTATAAAAATTTTATTGTAATCCATTCACAATTTCGCGGAATAATAAATGTTGAATTCTTTCGCAACATTTCATATAAAGTTTTCACAACACCTAAAGGTATTTATTCGCATTTGATCCTTGCAAGTTGCAAGAGCATAAAATGTCCGGTTACGTCCGAATTTAGCTCTTGCTTACTTGTCAATGATTCTGTTAATTACAGATTAATTTATTTATGAATAGAACTCCTGGCATTTGCCTTGGTGTAGTGGCTTTGGGTGCGTCCTATGACAAGATTCCAGTTTTCGACCGATAATAAAAATTTCCTAATATAATATTATATTATTCGCCGGTCGGTCTATACCTGAACTCGCCTCTTTGGGTTTTGTCCTTTTTCTCCCAAGTAGTTAGCCATTGGTCGGAACCGCCGATATCGGATTATTATCGGATATATATGTAGCTGCCATACAAACTAATCGATTAAAATGAAGCTCTTGTATGGAAAACTTTTTTATTTGACAAGATATCTTCACAAAATTTGGCATATATTATTATCGAAGGCAGCGCTACAGTCTCCGAAAAAAATGTTCAGATCGGATCGCTATAGCACATAGCTGCCATATCAAAATCAAAATAAATATCTTCTTTAGCTTTTAATGCTTTGAGAAATGCACCTGTGAAGCGTATTATAGCTTCAGTGGAGCCGAAGTTAACGCTTTTTCTTGTTTTTACTATTATATTGCAAATTCTCAGTTTCATATATATTATATAATATATTCTATATTTAAGGATTAGTACTAATTTTTTTCTTTTCTTACATTGATTTTCATATTTTTGCTCTTATTATATCTTGTAAAATATGTAATATTTTTTCCCTCATAAATATGTAAGAGGCAACACTGCAACACATCAGTTCTACATACACATACATACATGCATATATTAATAATATTATATCAAAGCGAAGCTAATCAATAGCAGGGGCACGCTTATTGAAACTAAAAGTTGTGTGAGTAATTAAGTAACTTGCCGATGTAAACGGAAATGACGACAATAATGCATAATATTTGTTTCTAAAGAGTGTCAGAGAGCTAAATATGTATGTGCCTATGAGTGAGTATGCGAGTTCTAGTATGTATGTTGTGTATATTTTTTTACACATTTACTGATATCGACAACGGCTAAACAAAATTTTAATAGAAATTTTTTCAAGTATGTTAGCTCTAAAAAAATGTATTTTCAAATTTATAATATTATATAACAACTAAATAAATTATCTCTCAGCACACAATTCAAATGAGCGCATTAATACAACAATGATATCCAATGACCGCATCTGAAAGTAGGGAAAATTGCAACGTTTTGATTGGAGATTTAAACGTGCTTTTGCAATAGGTTATGCCACTTGATATTGCCCTCATGGCACCCCAACCAACACCAGCCGCTTTAGGTAGCTATGGCATTCCATAAAGTATTTGACCGACCGAACGACCACTTAGCAGCATAGCTGTGCGTCACTGTGGAACGGTAGGTGGACTCCGGCGTCGTGATTGCGATGTGCTTTTTTGCCACAACATTAAAGCCAGAGTGTGTATGTAACGAGTACCTACTACAACTACTAGTACTTACCTTCATACAATCCCGTTTATCGAGGGTGGAGTCCAAGCACCGATGATTGGCCTGCCAGCTCTGCTGCAATGTTGTGCCATTGGTAGATAATTTTATAGGCATTTTGAACCTATAAACGAAAACCGGAAATAAACGAGCGAACAAATGAATTAATATTCGTTCACAAGTACGAATGTTGTTGGCATGCTTACAAATATAAACGAGGCAATTAAATCGGATGGCTTACACCGAAAAGGTGAAAAGCTGTGATTAGCCTGGGCAACGTTTGAAAATTGTAAAGATGTGTATATAATTTTACAAGGTAATGAGCATGTACATACATAGATATTTGTATTATATACTTACAAACCATACCTGCATATTTACATACAGTTATGTTCACAAAAATTGTAGTGTTAATTTAGGAATGAGAAAATGCAATAATTTTCTTCTTGTTTTTAAATAAGTGCATTTAAATTTGAAGTTGCACGTGGCACACAATTATCTGCATATAGCAATAACATAATAACTTTTACGTACGTTCGATCAAGTTAAAAAGTTTTCGAAAGTGGTTAAAAATATTCATTCATAAACTACAATAATAGGTCTTTGGGATTCACTAAAACACAAAAACTCCAAACGCTGTATAAATTAACGGTATATATGCTGAAGCAAGTTAACGCCGTTTTGATGACTTCTAACGTTGCTTGATAAAAAATGGTAACTTTTGTGGGCTACGGAATTTTAGATTTGGGTTTGCCACTGCACTTATTTAATAATTGAACTAGTACCCAACCTTCTGAAAACTCGTATTTAGTAAATTCTAATTAATTCAATGCTTTTAGGCCACATGTTTCAAGTTTATTTCCCAAGTTTAAGAAGTTTGATATGTTACTATTTTCGTAGAACAATAAATAATTTTTCTTTATCAATATATCTTTTCTTCGCATGTTTAAATAATTGCATTTGGTTCTTAGTTCTTTCGTCGTAGTTCGAGCTATACATCAGTTTTCACACAATCAACTGTCAAAGAAAGCACTGCTATTATTATGATCTCAGCTGGTAATAACTATTAAGGCTTCATTGCTGCATTTTCAATTAATAATGATTTTCTCTACTAATATGTTAAGCTGAAAACACAATTTTAGGTGAAATGTATTTGTTAATGAAATTTTTTAATTAAAGCTCTTTGAATTAAACCGCATTGCTTTTAATATGAACACGTCTGTAAATTTATGGACTTAACCATCTATTAAAAATTAGACATAGTCCGTGTTCCATAGCATTTCCGTGCAACTTACATACATATATACATAAATACATGTGTACGTCCGTTATATATGTACATGCATATGTGGGTAACATATTTACAATTCAGCTGTTTTTCTTGGTTTTTTGAATTCCCATCAAAATCTCCACAAATTACCATTTGAAATAGTTCCTAACAAATCAAATTTGAGAATATATTATTTTTAATATTTTTTTTTTTTTACAAATTCCTGTAGGCGCTAACTTATTCCAATTATTATCATATTCGCAATAATTCTTATCATATTCGAAACAATTTTCCTCTTGCTGGAACTATCGTCCTTCTTTTACTTCAACTTGTTGTTAGAGTTTTATATTATCTACTAAGAGTTTGATTTCTTTAAAATTAAACCAAATCCTGCTTCAGACTCAAGTTTATGTAATTGAAATTGGACTGGATTACCATTCCCCAAAATCGATTGGAAAATCGTTTAGCATGTCTTCGATCAAGTCCACTATAGGTCATGTTTCTGGTTATGTCTATATAGAAATATGCAAAAGAATCGATTTTTTTAAACTGTGAACAGAGAGATAACCGCTTTAATGTACATACATACAAACATATATTACCTACCAGAAGTACATACATATGTATGTATAGTCTTGATGTACGACAAAATTCAATAACATATAAGGTGCTGTTCAAAAAGTTCTCTATTATTATTTTTAATAATTTTTTCACTATTAGTACATACTTATGTATGTTTGGATATATTTTACTTTAATATCAGGGCCAAAAATCGATTTTTTCAAGTTGGTAAGAGTTTTAGGTATGTACAGTCACAATCACACCTAATGTGTTTATTGTTGTTGTATGTTAATAAAAACTAATTTTTACAAATATTGCTACTTATTAAATATGTTTTTTTTTTAAATAGTATTATACAAAATAACGCTGATAGTACAAGTATTTAATAGCTTAATAAACATTTTTCATTTAAAATTATACCTAAAAGCCGTTACTAGCGTTTAATTATCATCATATTCCATTTTAATTACCTGCTGGAATACACATGTTCATATGCACATCTGTAACTAAATTTCTAAATTAACATTTGTATGTAAGAATGTATAATGCTTGCAACCACTTTAATCTGCCCTTTTTATATCTTAACAGGCTTTAGTTTCCACCCTTCAGCAGTCATCAGCTGTTTCCAAGCGGCCATTCTACAAATGTTTACAAATCCATAAGATACACTTTCGTCATACATACACACACACACACACAAAATGTGTAGCTACAAAACAAAGCAGGCACGATGTAATGTCATTATATATTTATATATAATATGTAAGTTGTCATATAAACCTACAAAATGTATCTACAACGCCTAAACATGTCTTCAGTATCCCATTTCAGCTACTCGTTTTCCTGGTCGCCCGCTTTTCCATACACAAATCGAAATTGTTGCATCGCGACAGCGCAACATAGCGACAATAACAACAAAAATTACAGAGGATAAACATCGGCAAGCAAAGCAGCAGCCGCAAGCAACGCCACACAACACGCTGCATATCCAGAAGCCAAATGTTGCCGGAGAGTTGCCATCAACGGAATATTCATATTTAAATGCTGTCGTGAAATACTTGCCTGAGGGCAGTGGAAGTTTTATAATGCTAAACAACAATAATTTATTTAGTCAACAATAATTTATTTAGTTAATAATAATTTATTTAATTAGTAATAATTTAGATCAACAGTAATTTATTTTTAACTATTGAATAAAAGTTATAAACTATTTATATCTAGATTAGTTAAATTTTTAAAAATGCCTAACAAAAATCACTTAAATATTTGATTTGTAAAAAAGTATTTGTAAATTTTTTTCTAAATAAAATTGCTTAAAATGTGTGTTTTTGCTACACAATTTCGCTATTTAATGAAATTCTTTATAGGAAAGTATTTTTTTTTTGATTTTTGCTTACTTTTAAAATACGTTGGTCACCCTGAGACGTCGCGTGGCCGCAAACATTTGAGGTGTTGTATCTCGGCGCGCGTCATTTACCAGGTACCCAGAATTGATAGATGGTGGCTGCCGACTCGACAAATTGTTGGCGCAACGTGCATGCTGATGTAAACAATGCGGCGTGCAACAACAATGCGCGTTGGTTGAAGTGTGCCAAATAGTGGTGTGCACGTCAATTGCATGCTTTAAAGGCAGCGAGTTAAAACGGGATGGCAGTGTGTATACAGCGGCTGCTAAGGGTGTGCCGAATGGCGGTGGTGTAAGCGAGCAAGATGGTGTTTGCGTGTGCAGGAAACTTTATTTGCGCCTGAAAGTATACAAGCATGCAATTGTGAATGAGTTCGAAATTAATTGGGAACTATTTTACGCGACTTAATTGAAGCGAAAATTTTTGGTTTGGTTTTATATAAATATTATATATGAAATGTTATTAAATATTAAGTAATATATGATATATTTTATTGCTTGAACATGTGGTAAATATTCGTTAGAAGAATATATACTAAAATTATTTTTGTTGTTAAAAATTTCATTGATAAAAATGAGAAATACAGCATTTTTAAAATGAAAATTATTAAAGCCAAGTTTTATTTATTTAAAAATTTTTACTTAACCCCAAAATCAAAATACAATAAGGTATCATTATATCTATATATTTATGCATATTAGTGATCGTATGGAGTAGTAGCTTAAGTCGGATTGAGGGTGGTACCATATTTTTCTCTTTTTTATTATATTTCCTTTATTTTTATGATATTTCCTTCTTATACAAACTAATTGATTAGAAGACGACAGAAGGTGAACTATGTAATTTGTTTTTAGTTAGAAAGTATTAACCGAAACTTATTTTTATGAAATTCATTGCTCAGAAAAATGTTTTCATACCGAAATAGTCGTGTGAAAATCAAACATAAAAATTTAGCTTCAACTCCGTTTTAGAATATAGAATATAAATATATTAGCACTTATTAAATTAGCTCACGCTCTGAACGCTTAATCGAGTCAAACCTTAAGATTTATTTTACATTTTCGATTAGTAATTAAAATGTATAATATACAGTTCTCTATAGCAATTTTTCAATCGCCACTTATATTCTGTGAGAGAACTTGAAAAGTGGCCGCTCAATTTTTCAATAAATATTCTTGACTTGATTGAAGATTTTTCAGCAAATATAATCGTTTATTAAAAAATCAGAAACAATAGGTGATCTTACAAAAAAAAAAAATATTGTTAAAATATTTTTGTAATATGTTTATACGCAGAAAACACAGCCCCAAACGTTATATCATATATCTTTGTTTGTTGTATTAAATAACTAGTAACTAACAAACTACTCTCTAGTTGAAAGTAATGGACTAAAATTCGCTTGATTGCTTCATTAAGTATCGTTTTCTTTAGAATGCTGCGCTTACCTATTGTTGCTGGAATGCTTATCTAACATCTGCCAATAGATTACTTAAAGAAAGGGACTTCATATAATTATAAATAAATTATTAAAAAAAAACACCTTCGTTATTAAAAATTTAAAATACTAAGAATTGCGTTTATACGCTGCAATTCGGCAAACCTTTGAGAGTAACGAATCGATAATAATAAAGAACTGGCATAAATTGGCATAATCAAATAGAGATAAATTAGCCGATTATGCCACTCTAAGGAGACATCTACTACTTTCTGGTAATTTGTTGTTATATTCGTATGTGTGACATATTGCTTGACAGGAGCATAGAATAGAGAAGTGACGAATCGAAGACGGCTATAATATTTTTTTCCAAGAAAACCATAATAATGAGTATGAATGAAAGTTTCTTAAAATATGTAAATTAAAAAAATTTTGAAAAACTAAGTTAAGTCTTAAAACAATTTGTCGTACAATGAGCTTTGTGGCTCATTGGCCGTTTAAGTGCGACCGCTTGTAGTCAGGGGGATTTGCGAACGCTACTTTAAAATGGTCATTGCGTCCAATCATTGAAAATTATCGAAAAACACTACGTGCAATCATTGCATATGTATCGAAAAGAAATTTAATTTAAAAACTAATTTCAGTGTTAAATTTAGTAGGTAAGGCAAGTGCCGCACCTTAATGTAATGTTAATATATATAATATATATAATATATTTTAAATAAAATTTATGTTTATGAAAGTATACCCGTTCAATGTAAAAAATTTGCTTTGGCGACATAATAGTGACAGTTTACGCAGTGCCGTGTTAATAACATAATTTTTCTTACTCAAGCAATTTTTTACTGGCGTTTTGGGCGTGGAAAAAATATGCTTTTCCCTATGCCTTGCTTTAGATCTCAAGTTTGTTGAAAGCTAAATTTTTTAGCTTAAAAAAGTATTTAATATTTTTTTAAAATTTCAGCATTTTTTGTTGTAACTAATGTTTTAGTTGTTATTGTACAACTGTCACAGCCACTTCAGCGAGATTTTATTTCGTCGCTTCGTGATTTTTATTTTCGTGTATTTTTATTTTTAGCTTTTACTTTGTTTTTGTTGTAGACATATTTTAATTTTTGAGAATGTTTTATGTTTTTGAAAATTAGTAGAAGTATGCGCGGCATTTTTAATTTATGTGCGTTCGCTTAATAGTTTGGGCTTAACATTTAGCGTTGACGTGGGGAAGCGGTTGAATTAGTCGAGAAATTCGTGGCAATTCTTTTCGGCATTTTTGAGTTTTTGCTTTTGTAGAATGAAGAAAGAAATTAGCAGACATGTACATAGCTACAGACATACATACATATGTGTGTACATATGTACATTAACACATGTTCAAAATTATTTCGTCACCGGCTAAATGGCTCGTACAATTGTTTCACAAATTAAGCTTTCTTCGGCAGATGTCGCTCGCTCACAAAAGTTTTTATTCAATTGTTTTTCTCTTCTTGCTATCTTAATTTTAAAATTTTTCTTCACTGCGAAAACATATTTGTTTATTGCAAAAGACAAATACACAAGCAATAATAATGGCTATAACTAACGATACCCAGCTGATAAGGTAAGTCTCTTCGGAAGTAGCTGTTTTGAAACCATATGCGATTAAGAAGAACGTCTATTTATTCTTGTGGACTTTTTGTGACTTTCGACTTATTTTCTATATATAAGTATACATATATATAGAACAGTCGTGTTGAAAAGAATGACCCACACCTTTTGAGTTTCTCGCGCCGTAAGGTTGCTCTGAACTTTTCTACAGTCTCAATAGTCCCACAAATAGATAGATAGTCGATCGTATAGCAATAACGGTTTTTCGAATATTCAAAATTGTTAGTTATGTGTGAGACAAGTGGGAATCATCTTCAGTGCTTTGTTGTTATCAGTACCAGGTCCAGAAAACAACATTTCATCTTGAGAACACCGAACGGGCTTGTTCATTTAGACTTGACTGTGCTTAGTGGCTTTTCGAGCTGCTTTCGTCAAATTTTGACAAATAACCCTAAAGTTATGAGAATTTTTCGCACACAAGACGTTTTGATATTGCCACCTGAAATACGACCGATAATTTTTTAAGGTTTTAATGTGTTTCCCGACCTTCGCTTATTTAAGTTTTTTCTTATAGTAAACCAGTCAACTGCTAATATAGATTTCTCTACGATAGGTGAGTATTACTAAATTCAAAAGAGGCGAGGTTGAATCATTGATACTAGCTTTGTGGGTCAATTGTGGGAATGACGACAAGTCAAAGTCGTGAACACAGAAAAATCGATTTTGTTTTTTTCTAGTACCCCGAAAATGTAAGATCTAAGAATATTTTATATCCTTATAAAAAAAAAAATTTGAATCTGAGCGCCAATTACCTCGTAATATAGTACATAAACGTATACTTTTTGAAGACATGTCTTTCCACTATGCTGGCCCAAAATCATACAGTGTTTATATAAGAAAGACGTATAAAATTAATACTGTTCTTAAATTGATATCACTTTTAAAGAATGTATATCTGAATCCTTGCGAACTTAGGCTATTATAATTTTCGAGCCACTGTTCCAGCGATAGTCTGTCTTTCGTAACTCAAACGGACACGTATATTTATTCTTCTCATTCCTCGAAATTTGAGTATGATTTCTACCGTTACTACAATTGTTATTCATTCAAAATCGCAACTCGCAAAGAAAACTAATTGAGTCCAAAACGACAGCACTTGTCTTACTGAAGACTCTAGTTGAAATTATGTTATTTCAGAAGACGGGTTTAAAAAAACTCTAGTAATGTAATGGAATGAACCCAACGGTAAAACTACAAGAAAATCATACAAAGTCGAAACTTTTTGGGGGAAAGAAAGGAACACTTCGACGAACAGAACGTAGTAGTTTGCAATTAGTCGTGCAAATTAAAAAAAGGTGACTAACAGTGTAAAAAAATATACAAGTATAAATATATATTCATATGTACGTCTGCACATGACCAAATATATGTAGTAGTGCACTAGTTTCTACATATGTATATTCGTATATACTTATGCAAATATTAATCCTAGCCGGAATTTTTCACTAGCCATTGTCACTGTCTCCAACTTTTTAAGATTTTCCATTGATTGTGCGTTATATGGGAATTTTTAAAAAATTTTCAAAAATTGAAATTCTCAACTTAATTTATAACTTGGCACATTTCTGATATGATTTTTTTTTTCATTTTGGAATTTTATGTTAAATGTTTAGATTTTTATGCGCGTTTTGATGAGCAAATTAAATTGTAAGAGAAATGGCTAGGTGTGATAATGGGCCATTTGTTCGACATAAATTTGTGAGGGTGGCTTATATGTGCGACTGCATGCATATGGGAGGCCGTCACACTTACCGTAATGAACGGATGTTCGCTTACACCCACATACATACATACTACAAGTATATAGACAAACATATATAGACTTGTATCACTTGTAGATTTTATATTGCCGATATAATTCTTAGACAGCAAACATAGGCATATATATTTACACACACACATACAGACAACTGTGGGTATTCTTCGCTTCGCTTAATGGTCGCAGCGCTTGTCGCGGCGTGTGATTGCCGTGTGATGTGTTGCTTTGAGGTCAGATGGCGGAAAATTTATGCCCGCCACAGACTTGTCGCCGAACGTGTGACTATTTAACATATTAATAAAAAAAAAACATACATACATACATACAAACATACATTCATATACAAGCAATGGTAGGAGAATTAGTAGTTGGGAGCAATTTAAAACTAGGGGATGGTACAAAATTAATTGTGCATAACTTTGAAGGGCCACTCTGTGTGTTGGTGTTGGTGTTGGCTTGCCACCTGACAATGAATTGGATGTGTTAAAATCAACAAATGAA